GATTGATATCTGAACCAATGGGTTGAGTGAGATCCTTGGCTCGCGGCCAATGGATTGTAGGGAAGAATAAAAGGCAGTTACCCTGGATTTACGTCTGGTTATGTGAGATTAATACAGGCCTTAGCATTTACAGGGCATCTACTGTAACTGCAAAGAAAAAATACAGCAAAGCCAATATACTACAAGGCTTCTGTTAGTGAACTATGTATCTTTCTTCTAAAAATCTTTTCATGGGCTATGTAATGTAATAGGGTAAGGAGCTGAGTTGTTGCCTAAGGGACAGAAGTTTCATGTCTACATTTCCGTCCACAAAGCTGAAAACGCACCCTTGTGAAAGTCAGAACTAATGACTGACTCAGTGTATCTTGCTTGTAATTTTACCTTCTTTGATATAATACCCTTTAAAAGCAGAACAGACAAAAAGGTTAAACTGGGAACCCTGAACCACTCTGTGCTGTTGGCTCAAAATATAATATCCTTCACTCACAAGGCAGAAATGAGTRGGTTGAGGCATATAAAACAGTAAAATAATTAAATAAAACTGAAAAGGAAGAAAAAGTCTTCTGGAAAACTGCACTGCACATATAATCTTCTATCTCTAGTCACACCGTTGAACAGTCCATAAGCCAACTGGAGAAGAACTGCAGAGAACTACAGTGTTGGCCTCTACATTTGCACCTGCACCATGAGCCGGCACAGGCCGCTGTGCTTTGCAGGAATGTAATCCTTAACATTAGCTTTGTAAGCAAAATACTTTAAGTTACGACAATTCATCGTGAAAGAATGAACTATTGTCCTGCTGAAGAATCGAGAGGCGTCTTTTCAACAACTCAAGCGTTTGAAGCAAGTCTTGGGAAGCAATGTGTTCCTTCTTTTAATTAGCACAGCTACAATAACAATGTAAATTTTATTCCAGTGYTAGAACATTTAACAGCTCAGATTTCAAACATGGCAGAACTACGTAAAAACTGGGAAGAGCGCGCGAGATGTTTGTTTCTTTAACTGAATACAAATTGGATGTGGAATTTCCTTTTGGAAGAAGAACTTGAATGGGGGATGGTTTCCATTCACATTTCTACATTGCATCATATATAAAAAATGATATAATGAATTGCAAATCTGAAAAACCCAGGCAAAAGTAAAAAATAATAATTCCAGGTTTAACATATCTAGTGGGTCTCCCCTATTGCTCCCTACTACACAATCTGCTAGGCTCAAAGTACCCGGAGCTGGAAGATGTTTTAGTTACAATAATCACGACACTAATTCTGCATTGCCATCTTCAAGCTGGGAAAGGGGAACAAAATCCCTCTTCTTCGGYATGCATACAGGCAATGGCTGCAGAGCACTTACTAAGACCAGGGAACGAAGCTTGTTCTCCAGGCCTAACCTCTGCTACACAGAGGAGGATTCGGGCCCTGAGAGCACAAAATTGCCACTCGTCTGCCCTACCTGGAGATGTTACTGCTCCCCTTTCTGACTGCACCAGGATCCAAGATACTACACAGGACAAGCAGGTCTCATCCTGYGCCTGCCACAGGAGCTCTTGTTTGCACCCACAGAGCCCTGTGCTTGGAGGCAAATTACTTTTATCAGACTGTGAGTGACCTGCCTGTCCTCTTAGGCACACAACCTGCATATTTGCTAAATAYGACTAATAATACCAAAGTAATGGTCTGCTATTACCACCCAAACRGCCTGGCCTGTTCTTTTTACAAGGTGTCTCTTGACTTCATTTTTTTTTAATGAGGATTTGCCTCTTTCYAATGAGACTCCTTGATATTTCCAAATCATCAGAGTTTGGGAAAGTTGAGGATTGGAGGCAGTGCATCAGCAGTGCCACCATGCAAGAAGGTGTTTGCACACAAATCATCAACTATCCTTGTTTTCATCTGTGACAATTACTAGTGTTCCTTAAATTTTGCACCCTGATGATTCGTAACAATAATAAATCCACAATGCAGTAACTTCGAAAAATTGTTTCTTGTTCTGAGAGCACCAGAGAAAGTTTTCCATTTTAGTCATCACAAAGTGCTCTCAGAGATTTTTACAGCACTGACAACACTGTTTTATAATGGAATTTTACCCTGGAACTGTGGATTTTACGGAGTTTATTGTAATCTAACTGCCTCACACTTTGTGTTTCTCCTTAAAGGATGAACATTTTTATACTGACGGCACTGGAGAGGAGCTGCTGAGAGCGGTAGAGGTTGCTCTCCCTGGGTCGGAGCCCTGCATCAAACGGTCCATAATCCTCTGGCTAAAATCCTTTTTGGTGCTCAGGAAGTGCAAAATATTKAAAGTCACACAAAATACTTTAGCTCTTTGTTTCTGGAATAATAGATTTCCTTATAGAGTCTTTATTGATCCATACCTTTTTTCTAATAATCCAGTGATGTCTTTGGTTTAAAAGCAACCTGTGTGAGTGATCTCAGGGTGTAGTTAGAATTAAACAATAAGTACAGAATTTTAAATGCTCATTGTAATCCAAATCTAAGTCCAAGCACATCCTGCTAGACTTGCACAGGGTGAAATTCCTGGGTAGCAAAGAGCTGGCACAAGCTCTCCACAGAAAGAAACAGTCTATATATGCAGTGCAGAAGTTTTTGTGCCCTTGTGCAGAGGGAGGATCCTGGCCCAGAGTTAAGTATTGCAAATAACGAGCAATTTTGCACTGATCCTACCCTGCTCACATGCAGATGCTAAATCCATCAGCAACACTATTTACTGTGACCAATATATGATTGCAACCTCTCCAGCAGAAAGCCAACATCTTTATCAGATGGGAACCATTTGTATAATACTCAACTTTCAATCCATGTAATCAGGGAATATATAATTATTTCATATTCTTCCTTATAAAGAGAATCCAGGTCAATTTGTATGCCAAGATGTTTTAAAATTCCACAAATAAATAAATAATGTTATTTCACCTGTTAACACACAGGAACTGTTTGTTTTGGCCAGCTCATACGGATTCTGTGTGCCAGGTTATGAATAAAATAATGTTCAATACTCTAAACATTCTGTGATACAAATTCCTAGCTCAGCATAAATACAGACCTCTTGTATGTGGCAGGTTCTTAATGCATTCTCCAGCACTGACACCATTAAATCCACCTATTTATAACAGAGTATATTTATAAATATTTTTAATTCCTAATCATAATGTAAAAAAAATGCAATTGCAGATAAGCCAACTTGCCCATCATGGGCCTCTATTTCACTGTATTTTGCTTGCTGGAGTTTGGTTTTTGGAAAGTAAAATGCTCCTACTGTATCCCAGTGGTTTCTGCGCATGCCGTACATTCCAGAACAGAAAGTAGGCTTTCTGTTTAAAGAATAGCACAGTAACTAAGATAAGATAAAACCAAATTGGAATATAATATTCCTGGGAAATTTCAGTCCTTTATGCAAACATGAAGTTAGTAATGTAAAGATGCTTTAGGAACATTGGCAAAAGATGGTTTCTTACACTGCCAGCCCCCTTCCCAAACAAAACTATGTGTAACTTTAAGATCACAACACAAAAATAGAGCAGACTTTGCTTTGGTTTACTCCACTTCAACCAGGAATGACTTCCACTGATGTCACTGGAGAAACAAAGTTCACATTGGATTAAGTGAGGGTGAAATCCTGGCCTCAGGTGGGTACCAATGATTTTGGCTCTGCATTTAAAATGATGGCTTACTTTCATTTCAGGCAGCTGGAATAAGTCTGGGACTGGACTACGCTGTGTAGTTCTCAGAACAGCATGAAATTTGGCTGTACAGCTTTCGTCTTGCATTTGTGGTAACAAAACAGTGTGCTGGACCTGCACGGGAACTGAGTTCAGCTGTGAGTGCTCTGMCTCTGGGCAGACCTACTAGGGTTTCCCTGCACATTCCCCCAGTAATATTCAGGGTAACTATGGTTCTCCCACACCTTCAGATTTACCATCTGTGAGATAAGAAGATTAAGGCATAACTGTTCCTTTATTTTGGATTGAGCTTCATTTCCTGAAAGGAGAATGAACAAGGGGTTCAATCCTGGACCTCCTATGCGCAGGCTGGCTCAACCCTTTCTGAATACACAYGGTTGTGAGGGCTGCTGTTACGACAGTGAGAAATTTAATTTTTTCTATTGTCTAATGGATTCCATCACTCTACTTGGCTTTCCAAAGCCCTGAGACTCTTCCTTCCCCTAAAGGGCAGGTAAATCTCTCAAAATTGAGGCACCAGACCCTAGTCGCACCATCCCGGCCTAGAAACCCAAAGCAGACTCTTGAGCTGACTTGTGTCCCTAAGGGCTGCTCTCCTCACRTTCTCTCTTCTCAGATTTGTATTGATGTCATGGGGAAGACCAAACTCTCACCACAACCCCCTTTAAAGATTYGCCTTTTTCCTCAGTGAGCAGGTTTCTAATTGCAAATTTTTAACGCATAGGTGTTCAAGGAGATCAGACTTCTGCTTCTTTTCCTTTCACCTTGCCCAGACTAGATAAGGGTCCTTAAATCCCTGTGCTCCTTCCTGCAAGATGCTGCTGATAAACTCCTTTCTGCAGAAYTCAATCTGTTAGCCAGGACTGTTTGGAGTTCATTTATTCAGCATCATCRTTGGTTCAGCATCACTTATAAAGGAACTTTTAGACAGTAATGGCAGCAATGGCTCAGTTGATGAGCTAGTTTTGGTCTGGGTGGGAATTTTTATTAGTAAAAAGGTGAATGTTTGTGTGAGTTTTGCCTTTGGAGGATTAAGTTGTCGATTAATGCACATTTCTACCCTGTTTGTAGAATGCTTCTCTAAAACCTGCTCTCAAATCTGTAGGTCTGTGTCACAATGTTTTGGTCCTACAAGGCATAAGGGGAAAGTTTTAATCCCAGCAAAAACTAGAGCCAGAATCCGTTAACCCCTTCCTTTCCAAATATTTACATTAGAATTGAAGAATAGGCACTGCATAGTCAAGCATGGCACTCTGAACAGCTTTTCACTTAGGAAGAAAACAGTAGCATTTGCTGTTACCTTTGACCAATCTCCTGTTTTCCATTCGTAACACCCCGTGTGATCCTCACACTCTTCCTCATCTCTTGGTCTTGTGGCTGCATCACATTTTCCTTGAGAATTTGTGCATGTCACTGTTCTTTTCTGAATCCCTTTGCCACAGTCTTCCGAACACTGCAAAACAACAGGCATTTGCTTAACTATTATATGTCTAAAAATGCTGAACTTTTATCTTGGTAATAGAAGCAAATGAAAATGTAGCTCATGAGTAGGTAATACAGAGAAAAACTAACACCACACAAGATTTTTGCCCACTCTCCTCTTTCACATATACAGAAATAATCTGAAAAGTTTAACTGTCTGTGAAATATTTTGCATCTGAAAAAAYAGCAATTCTAAAAATCAACCTGCTCTGAAAAGTATCCACTAGCATTGTTCTAGAACTGTGTCACAGATAAAGAATCACTAACTTTTACAAGTAAGAACATATCATTCATAGCAAGGAGTCACAACACAGAATTGCCATATCCCTCAATGAATTGCGGGACTAAAATGACTGGGAAAACAAAATGGTGAAAAATGCATTTTTAAAATCACAGTAGTATGACCRTTCAAAGTCTGAGAAAGCACCAGGCCGGTAGATTTGCTAGAATCAGTTGCTTGGGGAAGATCTGATTCCAGTATTTGGGCACTGTAAGAAACATTTTTGTGGGTGGACACAAATGYCCCACAAATCTTTTTGTGCTCAGGCATTATGGAGGTAACTTCTGGAGAACACGGAAATCTGGGCTCCAGTTTGTTCTCTTTGCCAAGTGATGGCTGGAAATTCTGTCTTACTGGAGGGCCTGTTTTGGCTTTGTTGCCTGTATTAGGTGGGAAACGGACGCTGCCAGGAACTGGAATTGAGAAGACTGTTTAAAGAACCAGTTAACACAATAACAGAGCTGCTGATGTTGTCACAGCCATCCAAGTCCATGCCAGTACAGACCAGCAGGGCCAGTACCTCTGCTCCTCGCTCTCATGCCACTGCAGTGGTAAGAGTGAGACATTTTCTTGAAGAGCCATTGGGGACAGGTGGGTGGAAAAATGATGTATGTACCAACTGAGACAAAAATTAACCTCTCTAGCATGTCAAGTTCTCCCCTTTAGGGGATCAGCATGGAAAATACAGTTGATCTGACACTGAATAAATAGCGAAGATATGAGATAATCTGTGAGGTCTTTTGAACRTATTCCAAGAAGCTCCTCTATCCAGGGGGTCTGTGCTGGAAACAAGCGTCAGCTTGATATAAATTACATCAAATGGACAAATCTCAGCACGCCTGTCTAATCGTCTTAAAAGCACAATCCAGGCAGTTCTGACCTGCTGGCCTTGTTAAGGACATGAATGACAAGCGTTTATGAGCTGGCAAGCAAACAGACATGCCTTTAAATACTTCAGAGCACTACAAAGTGACTGCGTGAAAATCTGGGAAAACTTCCATTTAATTTACTATGTGCTGTTCATAGTGTGACCTCCTTATGGAGCTTTGTGACAAGCACAACCATATAGTTCTGCTAGGTATGGGATGAATTCTGCCACACTTTGGAGACAACTCTAASAACTGCTTTGCTGGACTTCTCAAAGTCCAAAACTTCCCACATAACCCAGGCTGCCCTAACTGTTACCCCCCAAATTGTACAGACTTTCCCAAACTGGGTATCATTTTCCTCAGTCCTTGGGGTGGATTCCTTAGGATTGCACTCACTCATCTCAAAGCATAAAGCATAATATATAAAATCACTCAAAAGGTCTGATTTACTGCAAGCAAATCAAGCTGAAGGAGGAGTATTTTTCACAGTGTAAGAAATCTCTAGGTGGGTTTCACAAGCAAATCTGGGAACACCACCAACTGTTTGTTCTTCCCACAAGCTTTTAAGTTGTTCACAGATTTACAGTGAATATGCTTTCCTAAGCAAAAGAGCATTTGCAAAAGGTTTCCAATAGATCTTTGGTGGTCACACATAAATTTTTATTTTAAGAATTTTTTTTTCTTGAGTCTTCTGTCTTCATGAAGAATTTCTTAACGTAGATTTTTACAAGGGTTCTACAACAAAGTAATCTATTAAATAATATGTGCAACCATTTCATGTCCAGTTTAGATGACTAATCTTATTTTATTAACATAGGACATAACCAAATCCCACAAGATTTTACAAAGGAGCATCACAACCATGCAGCTAAAATATGGCCCTGTTATTTGAAGGAAACATTTTTTTTTTCTACTCTAGTTGCTAAATAGTAGAAATATTCACTTTTTTGTAACTCTCTATTTTTATCATCGAAAATAGGCTGAGCAGTACCTTGTCCAAAACAATCTCAAGTGCTTGGCAATAGAAGGGGAACTTAATTTTTTTCCACCCAAAGACTGTCTTGGAATTTGCTTTGAGAACATACATTTTTGACTGGGGACCAGACATCAACGTGCACTTAGTTCAACTATTTTCTGTCGCATAACCAAAAAGTTCAAAAATGTACATAAGAAAAATAGTTTATAAAATGTTTCCACTACTGTGATATTTACTGCACAACATCTGATTAAATGTTAAGGATTGAGCTGATTTCCAGTAAAGAAAGCTTAGGTATGAGAAATGTCCAAAGTAGCATAGCGTCAAATACGTCCTCAAGTCAACCTTTATAAGAGCAGAAATGTGCCTGAACAAGAATGAACTGACCCAACAACAGGAAAAAAAAAAAAAAAAAAAAAAAAAAAAAAGTAAGCCAGGTGTTTTAAATATCATCTAAAAAAATTACATGTTTGCAAGAGGGTTATGTGGTTACAACTATGAAAGACTTCCATGAYGGGAAAACTTTCCATGGCTTGACTCACTCCACTTAACAAGAGGAGAGGAGCATCTGGGATTGCTTATAAAAGACCAAGCAGCCTAACGATGGTGAAACAGGTGGAAGTTGCACTATGACAAAAGCACTGATACAATTCAGCTGGTTCAGCAGTGAGATATCAAGAAGACATTACCTGAGAGGGTTAATTCCCTAACACATAAAAGACCTGCAAGGCAATTTATTAAAGCTCTGGTGTGTTTCTCCACAGCTTTCCATAAAAGGAGTCACAAAGAAAATGAATTTTATGTATTAGTGAACAGGTCCATCATCCTATGGAATGAAAACACTACCTCTACGTTATCTCACTTGCCAAACAAAAAATCTTCTGCTCAAAAGACAAAACATGGAATAACACTGTAGTTTTTGTTAAGAGACTTATCTTCACTGAACATCTCTTGCATCGTGAGCTTTCTCTGTGACTTTCAAGCAAGTTTTACAATGGTATCTTGCAAAGACTCTTTGGYGATGCTTTAAACAGGAGTTCCTGTTTCAAAATAGAGATGAGTAACCACAGAAGATCCTTCCCATGGAAGGGGCTGCTGGTGGACAGTGCCATAACACTGTCACTATGTCCTGAGACTGGTAGAGGCAAAAGCAACACAGGACAGAACATTAGTACAAAATACAAATCTCAGCTCCAAACTCATCATCTCAACAACTCCTACCAGCTGCCCCAGGCTCGATGAGAACATGCTTAGCTTAAGCACTTAGCTGGTCCAGGATCAGCATATCAAGAGCTGCATGCTGTCTGGCTCCTTTCTTGAAACTAGCTCCTACCTTTGACCACTCTGAAGCTTCCCAGATAGAAAGGCAGTCCCGGCCTTCACAGCTTTGTACAGTCGTTGGTTTGTTGCCGAGACAGTAGATATCTCTTGTGTTAACGTAGGTGCCGTTCTGCAGCTGATAGACACAGGTCACTTCCCGGTGCTGGATCCCTTTCTCACACGTGGCAGAGCAGGGACTCCAGTGGCCAGTCACCCACCTGGGAAGGAGACAGAAATGTTAAAACAAAACAAAACAAAAAAAGAGTAGGATAAAATTATGTGTCTTAACAGTGAGAAAATGTGCAGCTGATCCCAGGTTTGTGAGTTGTCCAAGGGTGCTGAACCACTGGTGCTACAACCAGGCCCCTCCTGGAGCTAAGTGTGTGGAGCACAAAAGGGTCAGCATGCAGGTGAATCTCTGCTCCTGGCTCCACCAGACAGAAACGCTGTCACAGACAGAAACACTGTCAGAAAAGCTCTGCATGAATCCCTCTACCTCCATCTCTAAAGCACAGCTGCACTTCTCCAGATAGATTTGTCTGTAGACCATCATATCCCACAAATACTGTCCCCCTTGATTGCAAAAGCACTGAGGCTACAAACCACATCCTCACCACGCAGAAACTTGTGCTGCTGTGGCCACCCAAACCAAACGGGGCTGGTGCTACCCCCAGGCAGGCAGCTCGGCCTGGCTTTCCCAGTCAGGAGCAGGGTCAGCTTCCCTGGCCCTGTGCTGCACGGCCTCAAYGCATGCACGTCCTGTGCATCCCAGTCTATTACCCGCCACAGATGTCTCTTGTCTCAGTTTTAGTTCAGCCTCTTGCTGGTCAGACTTCCCTTTCCACAGTTTTAGGTCTCCCTAGATGCTTAATTGCAATTTTATCCGTTTGAAGTTCATGGCATTTGTGACCTTAATAATGAGAGCTAACAAGTCATGTTCATTCTTAACAGATCTGAATTTAACTGAACTGCCAGTGCTCAGGAAATACTGAAAATGGTTTTCCTTCCAGAACGGATCCTAAAGTACTGATTCAAAGCAGCCACTGCTCACTCAGATGAACCATAACCCAACCTGGATAGGGAGGAGTAATTTCCTATAACCCTCATTTTTATTTACTTTGTAAGCATATTTCAACTGTCATTTCCTTCACTTTTGATCAAAGTGTGCTGGGAACAGATACACCCCGCTTTATTTGCTTTGTTTTGTCTTTAAGGATTCTTTGGCTAACACCCAACCCAACCCTGCGAGATGTGGGGCTCTTGCAACACTAACGAAGGCCCCGCTGCCGTGAGCAGCCTCTGAACGTGACCATGCTGCCAGACGAGGGGCTCTCACTCTGATGTCCCCTGGCTCAGGGTAAGGGCAACTCRAAGTCTCCCACTGACCGCTCATGGAGGCGTCAACTGAGGTTGGGGCTTCACCGGGTGGCAGTAGAGAAAATGCCTGAGGACGATCAAATTAGGAGATATGTAGGGAGGAACAATTATTCCCTAAAGACAGGCAGCATCCATCCTCAYGCTTCCTGCAATCTGTCAGGGAGGAACATGTGCTCTCTAATTACAGGCATTCCTGGATGAAGTGCAGACTGCAGCAAGAACTGCGTGTACACTCTGCACCGGAAGGCTCTGCTCACCAGGTAGTTGACCTTCTAGTCTGTTATTTAGGACTGTCATCTAGATTAGCATCCTTCTGCAATGAATCTTTTGCTTGTCGCCCAGTGCTGGGTTGCTTGTTGTGATAAGAGGTTCAGGTAAAATTTCTTGAAGACGAAAGTCTGCTGGGAAGCRTAATTTCAATATTTCAATAATCTAGCTAGAATATCGTACATGCCTACTTATTAGCCATGTTTCTTCTAATACTGCTGCAATAAAGGTTCAAAAAACAACTTTTTCATTTTCCCATTCTTGAATAGGAAAAAATCAGCTCAGTGCAATTTGCAGAAAGCTCCTCACCCGCTGCAACTGTCATGAATTCATTTGCCAGCTGCTGTGATAGATGACACGGTGGGACCACGCTGCTGGTGGCTGCGCGTCCAGGCAGGCWGGGCCACCTGTCCCCTGGGGAAGCGGGCCCCGCTCAAGTGTTTCTGTGCATTAAAGCTGTTGACACATCTGTGGATTTCTGTTGGCTGAAACAGCTGGCRAGACACCAAACCTGTTTCTCTAGACAGTAGTTCTGGCGCATCTCTGTGGCTGAGTGCTTGGTATTTTGCTTATGGAATGGGAGAATGCCAGCTGGGTAATCGAATACTGCAAGGCTGACAAAAATAGCCTCCAAGTGCAGAAATAAGTGTGCATGAAAATTAACAGGCAGCCTCCCTTGGTATCACCTGGGCTCGGCTCTATCAGAGCAAACATGGGAGCAGCTATTGAGCTGGGTGAAGGAACAGCTCGACAYGGACAGGGAGGGGGAAGCAGCGACTTTGCTCTATGAGCTGAACGTTAGCCACAGGGCCGGGAACGGTTTCTGCTCAGGCTCCACTGAACTAATATTCACATCAGCACTGCACTCGCACCGTGATCTACAGCTACTGGCGAAAGAAAAAGGGAAAAGGACTACAAGCAAGGGAGAAAGATAAAAATACATTCTTGGCAGAGGCTGCCTGCATGCTTCCATTCAGGATGGGCAGCACATGGCACGCCAACCATTTCCAAGATGCCCTAAGAAGTCAGGTTACAAACTTCTTTTCAGGAAGGAAAACTCTTCTTTGTTTCTCTGTCTTGTGGAGGAGAAAAGCCATGTCATTTTTCTCCTGTTCAGTGGTCTCTAGCTAGTGCTGCAGCACAGAAAGAATGAGAATCATTATCATTATGAGAAAAATGAATGCACAGGGCACAAGCCAAAACCCAGGGAAATCAAGAGAGCGCCTTGGTTTGGGTCACTTCAAATCTAGCCTGTTGTGAAAAGGCATCACCAAGGTTTCTGTCAGATCTGTATGTCCAGCTTCAGCTACTGACCCACTATATATGTCCCTAAACATATTTAGTGGGTCCCTAAACCCACGTGTTCACTGGATGGTTACAAAGAATCTCTCTGAACCAAAGAGCATGAACCCAAATCTAGCTGCTGTTGACTTTGGCAATGAATGCTGTGTCAGCACCACTGGCGAGCACAGTTTACATCCATCGCACTGTCATCCAAACCTTCATGTACCTCCCATGATTCTGAATCTGGAATAAAAAGACTATTTTGATACTGTGTGTGTTAGTTCCACGTCTGCGAGACAAGCAGCAGATTAAGTGCTTGAATAATAGTAATAATAATAAAAGATATTTCCAAAGGCACCAAGGGAATGATCAGTTTGACCATGCAACTTCATCCTCCCAGTGAAATCACTGCTTGCTTCAACAGCCAGTAAAAAAGATCTGGCAAATAAGGAAATGCAAGCCCTGTATTCAGTCCTGCAGGGCTCTGATGTCCCCCAGTTCCCTCTATAGTCCCTTCACAGTCAGCAGAAAATGTTATTTTAGTGCCTGTAAGAGACAAAATCACTCAAACTGTATTTTAACAACATGGTTCACTACCTGGAAAGCCTGGAAACACACAGGATAAAATGGAAATCTCTGCCAGTTTCTCATTTGGTAAAAGAACGTGGCAAGGTACTGGCATAATTACTGTCTAAAAAAGACAGCATAACAAGTAATGTATACACTGGCCAGAGATCGGGATGTACAAATACCATCACATTAGGGTTACCATTAAATCACATTTCAGATAGATTTTCCTTTTTACACTGTTATTGTATCTTTTGAACACACYTGGATGTGTTTAAGAACAAAATCTGCTTTTCACTTGTTTGAAATATATCTTTCTTATGACAATGTCAAAAATAATTCCACTTTTGTAGCTTAAAACACCAAGCCAGCTCTGTATCATTAACTAAGCCAATTAGCTGTTACACATTAAGACCCATGCAAGCTGTATAGACTGTTTGGCTTCCAGTTATCTTATAAGCCTGTAACCTGATCTCGGGGATTGCTTGGTATCAGGATGCTTTTCAGCTTGGTCTTTCCCTCCCAGGTCATAACCTGTCTTCAGTTGGACCATCTGTTTGCTCTGGCTGGAGTCAGGGGAGAGCCTCTCTCCTCTTTCCCACACAGGTTGATTCGTGTGACTCACACGCTCATCACTCATCATGCGCACAATCCTGGGGATGATTTTATCCATGGCATTACTTTTCGTAACCTTACCTCTGCAGAAAATGCAAGAGCTAGATRGTACCAGCTGGTGGTTAAACACACGAAGGAAATGCTGAGCTTTAAAGTATAGATTTTTAACTCAGTGAGCGGCTGCTTTTCTAGTCAAAAAATGCCCAGAAGGGTGTATTTTTTTAAAAGTCTCAAAAGGCTGGGATGGGCAAGACATGCAATCCGAGAGGGCTGCTTTAAATCTTTGTCTTCTGAATCTTCCTCAACCTCTGACCTCTCAGTATCTCTCTTGAGGAATTGGGAGTTCTTCTAATCTGCTTTGGCAACACTCATCTGGCAGGCCCCTGGAGCAAACTTTAAGTATCTCTTGGAGTTTGAGTTCATCATTTGATCTTTCTATGGTCTGGATTAGTCATTAACCTTGAATTATCCACCCTACCTACTTGCCTATGACTCCCACATTTTCTAAGGAAAAAATAGTGTCTACACAGCACTACGTGCATAAACCCAACGGAGATGAATGTCTGCAAAGGAAGAGTTGTAGCTAAAGATTTGGGAAAATATGCAGGGAAGATAAAATGGGTCAAGGCTGAAGGATGGGCTGGGGGAGTGCAATCAATAGACATGAGATCATTTTTCAGAGTTCTGTAGTCTCTTATACTATAAGGCCAACTCTGTGTGCTAGGGTAAGTATTGCAACCCATTAGATTTCACACAGGATGGTTCCACTCTACTACCTGAACACCCATGCACATCCTTGCACGTGTGCTAACCCTCTATGGGGTCTCTGCTACTTCTGTTCTCTCCCAAACGCTGCACTGAAATGTTTTTACCTTCTTTTGCAATAGCAGCCTGTATGTGACTGCAGACATATTTGAACCAATGCTTTTTTAATTACACCTGTGTTTTGAATCCCTCAGTTAATCACCTGAGCTACTATTATATAAAGGATTCCTTTTTGCAGAACATACGTTATTTCTGTTCCATTACTATGAAGGTTAGAACAAACTCCAAGTTAGTAACAGTTTAGCTGCTGTTTCTGCTATAAAATCACGCAGAAGTTGCTCTT